AAAAAACAAAAAAACAAATTGGAAGCTGTAAATCCAAACCTCTTTCAAAACTAAAGCCTTTTTAAAAGTTACACAAGAGCCTTTCTTTTTTTGTTTTGTTTTTTTTTTGGTTTTTCTCCGGTACCGGGAACCGAACTCACGACCTTGCGCTTGCCAGGCAGGTGCTTTTGCCGCTGAGCTAAATCCCCAGCCCCAAGAGCCTTTCATTTTATCTACTCTGTCTTGATGCTTCGCACTCATCTGTATTTGTCAAAGAATGTATGATGTATGAGTGGACAGAGGACTCAAATACTAGTGACAAAATCATCCATCCATATACCACCCATCTTCATCAACAAGGCATGTGTGCAAAAGCCATTGTGTTCACCAGTTTTGAAAAAATTGGATTCAGGGATGGCCTGTTGCTTCGGGCCAACGTTTGCTCCTCTGCCTCAATCCTACCACCCCTGAGATCAGACCACTCTCCTAGGCTGCTACAGATTGTGTTTTCACATTTCCTTAAAGCTCTACTGATTTTAGGAGGCAGTGCAATTTAGGTGGAAAAATGGGAAAAAAAATGGGAAATTACTCTGATCTAACCAATTCTTAATGTTGCCCTCTAAAAGATGAAAACTTTGCCTCCAAAATCATGCACTAAAAATTACAGATCAGGAAAGTAGGCTTGGAGTTTAATAACATGTAGTAAGAGCCGGGCATGGTGGCACATGCCTGTAATCCCAGCACTTGGGAGGCTGAGGCAGGAGGATTGTTGAGAGTGGGAGACCAGCCTGGGCTACAAAGTGAGCTCAAGGCCAGCCTGAACTGCATAGCGAGACCCTGCCTCAAAAAGACTAAAAAAAAAAAGACAACATGTAGTAAGAATAACAATCCTAAATATTTCCACTGGTATTTTCACTGAGAGTTACTCCATCTTTTCCAACCTTAAACTTTGAGGTTTATGTTTCCTTTGAGATACAGATCTATGAAATCAATTTCTTCAAATACTATTTTAAAAAAACATTTTGTCAGTGTTAAAATGTATCTGCCAGTATTAAAATCTGCCTATTAATTTTTTTCTAATTGCCCAGTGAAGTGGCTGCACAGCTATTACATCTGTACTTGCAGCTTTCTAGACAGCTTAAAGCAGCAACAGTAGAGGTGTTTTTTGAAGCTGTAAACCAAACACTCGTTGCATTAAAGGATTTATATCTTTTTCCTAAGGTCACCATGTATCTCTAAGGCTTTCTTTCCAAGCCGTGGACAGGTTTGCCCTTGAGGCTTAACTACATTCACCTGCAAGGAGGAATGGACCTGCACTCACTCCCTGCTCCCTGGGTGGCACCACTGCCCTCCTGGTGGGCACAGAGGTGCACCTATCCGCAGAACAGGCTGCCTTGTGGCGAGATGCTTACCAGGTCTTCTGTTGAAAGGATTAATGTTTTTAACTTGTTTTACCTTATGGTATTTCACTTTCTGCCTTTGTAAGATGAAGGCATGCTGTAGTTCACACTGACATCTCTTCAGTGTTCTCCATGACCTGTGGGAAATAATTGGGAAATGAGCTGTTTTCTCTTGATTCCTCTTCCATCTACACATCTCCCTGCACTGTGTCATTCTGTGCACAAACATAAGCCCACACTCTAGCTGTGATAAAGGGTGTAGTGATTAATTATATTAGCCAAGATATCCAGCAGCTGCTGCCCTCCATCCTTCTTTAGCAGAACCGTGTGACCGTCCCCGTTCTAGACCTCACAAGTTCCCTGCCTCTGCCTTTCTTGCCTGCCTACCTCTGTTACCCAAGGTTCTAACAAGCCTAATGAGCTTTCTGAGATACATAAATTAGAAAGGGCCGGCTGAGTGGCAGAGTGCTGGAATGAGTAACAGCAAGAAAATATTCAAAGAAACACCAGGACTATGAAATTCTGTGACCAACTGGGGTTTCCGGTGGACAGAGATTCCTCTAACCAATGAGTACTGAGGCTCTGGCCCATACTGATGCAGTGTAAATGTAAGAAAAACATTGAGATTGCATTTAAATACTTGTTCTACACCTTTCACCTTTCACATTCATGATTTTAGTCTCTAAGCCTCTCACTGTACAGAGATTAGTGCACTTGCCTTAAATGGTTAAGATTGTATAAACTGATGGATTTGAAACAGCCCCAGTGCCTGACATATACAGGCACATAATGTTCATGGCATTAGCATTACTCTGCTTTCTACTTGTATTTTTGGCATGGAGACATTATTTCAGTAGGGAGATGAGTGTCACATGTGGTAGCACATGCCTGTAATTCCAGCACTTTAGGAGGTTGAGGCAGGAAGACAAAGTTCTAGCCTAGCCTGGGCCACTCAGTGACTTAGCAAGACTGTCCTAAAAAATAAAGGGCTGAGGATGTAGCTTAGTGTGAAGATCCTGGGTTCAAATCCTCAGCTTCATCACCCCCCCATACACACAAAGCAAGGAGAAGAGGAACAATGTAAATTTCTGCAAGGACTTTAGGTTGTGGATTCTTTTTATGAACACGTTGGGAAGATTACCTGGAGATGTGCAGGGAGGAGTACACAAGGCGACATGAACATACCTATCAGAGGGCAGCTGATAAACTGAAATACCACTTTATGGTGGTAGCAGGAGCACTCTTGGTGAAGAAGGGCCATTTGTGAGTAAGTTTTAACATGCACGTTTATGCTGTGATTTTTCATAATGTAAGTATAAACTAATACTGTTAAGTAAGTCCCAATCTCTGTAATCAGTTCTCTTTAGCTGACATGCCAACTTTCATGACAGATCATGCCACATTTAGTAAAAGGTACTCCTTTTACTTATACTTAAAGCTTTAGAACTATTGACTGAGATTGTGTGACCTTAAAAAAATGTTTGGTCAAATGAGTTTAAGCGCAATATTTATTTTACCCTGGTTTTTAACTATTTTTATGAAATCCCTTTTCCTCCATTGAAAAATAACTAGCCAGATACACTGGTATACACATGTAACTCTGGAAGGTGAGGCAGGAGAATCAGAAGTTTGAGCTGGGCCTGGGCAACTTAGCTGCTGTCTCACAAATGGCGGGGATGTAGCTCAGCATGAAGGCCCTGGGCTCAGTTCCTAGTACCAAAAAATTATTAAGTTCTAAAACTCTTTCCCCAGTTTAACTAGAATATGCTTATGAATGGAAAGTCTATAAAGTCATATATTTTTATAAATGTGTCCTGATAAACAGGCAGAGGTCAAAATATGAACTCATTTTATTTGAACATGGTTTCTAAAAAATAATTGAGTTTTTACCATGCCATCAAACATGCTGAGAAGAGAAAAATCAAGGGGATAAATGCTACTGAATTGGAAGCACAGATGCCTGTGCATTCAAGGCCTTGTGGCAGGACACTACTTCTTATGGGCTTGCAAGACACATCTTCCTATGAGATCACAGAGTTCCTGTCTGTGTTGACTTTTCCAATTAACATCAGTAATGATTTTCAGTGCTTTTTGAGAACTTTTTCACTATTTCACCATCAAGCACTTTACAAATTAATGTGCTCTAAATGTTATCATTACAAATGTAATAGACCAACAAACTTCCCAAATCCTAAAAATATATGCTTCCAACTCATAAGTACAGCAACACATTATCTCAGCCTTTTGATAATTTAAGTGACCACTCTGAGCACATTAAAAATTCAGTGCATCATCTAAGAGCTTAAGTTAGTATGGCATCTCTGTCAGTTTGGTTGACTTACATTGTGGTGAACCATATGTAACAAAATTTACCATTTTAATCATTTTTAAGTTCAGTGGAAGTAAAGTAACATTGTATGCTACCATCACCAATACCTCTGCAGAACACTGCATCATTCCAAAATGAAGCTGTTGTACTTATTAAGTGTAACTCCCCATTATTCTCCCCGCCAGCCCCTGGTTAGCACTGTTCTGTTTTCTGTCTCCATGCATTTGGTATTCTAGGTGCCTCAAAAAAGTGTAATCGTATGATACTGATCTTTTGTGTCTGGCTTACTTCACTTAGTATAATGTCTCTAGAGTTCAAACATGTTGCATGTGGTGGGAAATCAGATAGCTTGAGGCTTTCAACTTGTTCTGTTTCAAAATTTTCACTATTCCAGGACTTTCGCATTTCCAGAGGAATTTTAGAATCACCTTGTCACATGTCACAGAAACATCTGTTGGGATTTTGCCTGGCATGGAACTGCTTTTGAGGAGAACTGATACCTTTGTAATACGGAATCTTCCAAACCCATGCACATAGCACGTGCCTCCATTTAGTTCAGTCTTCATTTCTCTCAGCACTGTTTTATAGGTTTCATGGTATAGATCTTTCACATCTTTTGGTAGATGTATTCCTATGTACTCTGACATACTTTTGCAAATTATACTGGTTTTTTCATTTTCCATATCCACTGACTGCCATATAAAACATAACTGACTTTTAAATACCCATATACCATCTTGCAACATTGTTCAACCGCTAACTAGCTCTTATCATAGGATGTATTCCCCCTTTTCCAGGTTTTTGGAAGAGTTTGTATGGAATAGTTATTTCTTCCTTGAGAGTTTGCCAGAAGTCACCAACTAATCCATTTAGTCCTGGAATTTCCTTGTGGGAAAGTTTTTATGTACACATTTCAGTTCTGTAATGGTTATGAGACTATTCAAGTTATCTCTTTCTGAGAGCACTTTGGTAGTTGTCTTCAAATAATTTGTGTATTTAAGATGTTGAAATCTTCCCTCATTATCCTTTTGATATGTGTAATATTGGTAGGAATGTCACCTGACTTAATTTTTAAAATTTGATTTAATTTTATTAGTATATGTTTGCAATTAACACAGTTTACAATCATCTTGGGGAGTGGTTACGTGTACATATAGCTTGTCAGCTTTTTTTTTTTCTAGTCCCTTTTCCCTCCCCTTTCCCTATCACCTTTTACATACTTATTATTTGTCTTAGCTCATGTTATGGGATATAATTTTTACATTGACTGGAGTTGTTTCCCCTTCTGCTTCTCTTCACCCCTTGTCCATTGTTCCCTTGGACCACTTCCTTATTGGATGAGATCTGTCCCCTTGTGCTTTTCTACCCATCCTATATCATTTTATTTCTTTGTACTTTGCATCACTCAAATGAGAGATACTATACAGTACTTAAGCTTGTGTGTCTGATTTATTTCACTCAGTATTGTATTTTCTAGGTGCATCCATTTTACTACAAATGCCTCAAATTTGTCATTCTTTGTAGAAAAGTAATTCCATTATATATACATACCACATTTTGTTTATACAATCATTTGTTGGTGGGTTGCCTCTAGGACTCAGCTATTACTCATTGTGCTGCTATACAGATTGGTATGCATATATCTCTGTAATATGATGCTTTAGGCTCTTTAAAGTTAGATAAGTTTATTGGTACAGTTTAGATACACATGATGACCACATTCTTCATGGGAATTTGTACCTAAGCTGGTTGGCTTGCTTATTGATTGACATGTTTTTGAGACAAGGTTTCACTATGCAGTTCAGGCTGGCCTTGAACTCACTTTATAGCCCAGGCTGGCCTCAAACTCGCAGCAATCCTGACTCAGCCTCCCAGGCTGGGATTACAGTCATGCGCCACCATGCC